CCCCCCCCCCCCCAATGTTGAAATGCATACAGCCTGGTTTGGTTCAGAAAGGGGTGCATGCTCACTACCATCACTTTCCTGGACCACCCAGGCTACATGTCTGGAGAAGGAACTGGTTGGAATTTTAATACCACAACCATTTTTAATGCCACATTTAAAGGGCTAAGTCATGTTGTTCCATAGCATCACATGCTATAGGTTTGCTGAACCTATCTTGAACAGAACCTGTTTTGCTCCTCCCTAGTCTATTAACCACAAGGCCATGTAGACTTTAATCATGCTGGGACTGTCACATCTTTCTGCAGACCCAACGCTGAGCAATATTGCATGCATGTGTAAATATGCATCTGGCCACAAGATGGCGCTGTTTACTGAGCACCAGCCCATGCCCGCTATCCCTGGGTGCACCTCCTGTGAACTGGCCCCCATGCTGTTCTCTATTTATTGGCAGCTATAGGTAAAATAAGAAGAGAGCTTAGCCTTGACTAAGGACAGAAAAGAATAGCTAGTTTCGCTTCCCATAGACTTCAAAAAGGGGATCAGCTCTAAATTCGGGGTTCGTGGACTTCCTGCTAGGTTTGCCAAAGCCGTCTTGAACTGAACCTGGCAACATTTGCTCATTCCTAGTCTATAAACCACGAGGCCATGAGGACTATAGTCATGCTGGGACTGTAATATCTAGGGATGCACCAATACCGATATTAGTATCGGTATCGGTGCTGATACAGAGTATTTGGGTGAGTACTCATCGCCCAAATGCTCCGATGCCTAGCCCGATACTTCCGGTATCAGGAAGCCGGGCAGCGTGTCAGCTGGAGAGCATGGAGCCGGCTTCCCGGCCAATCAGAAAGTCCGGGTGCCGTGTAATGACGCATTGCCCGGCTTCCTGATTGGCCAGCTTCTTGAACAACCAGGAAGTCAGGCAACGCATCATTACACGGTGCCGGCTCCATGCTTCCTAGTCAACGGGTGACAAACAAGCATTGAGACGGCTTCCCTGCTAATCGGGAAGCCAGGTGGTGAATCATTACATGCTGCCTGGCTTCCTTAATGGGACTTCCGGTATGGGTATTCGGTATCGGCGAGTCTCGTACGGTGCTCGTACTCGATTCCATAAAACCAGTATCGGTGCATCCCTAACAATATCTTTCTGCAGGTCTCCCACCATAGAACAATATTGCACGCATGTGTAATTATGTATCTGGCCACATGATGGCGCTGTTTACTGAGGACGAGCCCATGCTCTGATATCCTTGGGTGCGCCTCCGGTGAGGTGACCCCCACGCATTTCTTTATTGATTGGCAGCAACGTGTAAAATCACCAGAGAGTTCATTTCCAGATTTTTACCTCTAAGGTCCTCTGTAACGTCAGGTAATCGGACAGGAGCTTGCTGGCTCGGTGGGCATGATTGGCACTGGCTTCCGTCTTGGATCTTAATTCTTTGATCGGGATGTGAAGCTCTGTTAATTCCTCCAGAAGAATCTGCGGAAGAGCCAGATAAATTATTATCATGAAAGGGGGGGGGCGTGAACACATACGGAGGATGTAACTCCAAGCAAGTGGCTGAATATTCACAAACCCCGGATGTATTATAGAGGGTGACAACACTAATATGTCTTGCAGCTTCCCGGGTCACCTGGCTGTGCATAGGACAGTAAATAAGAAATGTAACATTGCCAAGATTCTCATTTTCCTGCAAGCATGTGTAAAGGCAATTCATCCGCCCCCGGTGCCTGAAAGCCAGCTTGCTGGACAGCAATAAAGTGATCGGCTCGCCTTCTACAACCTCCTACTCCAGATACGTCCTCGGCAAGAGATTTCTATTCATATACAATGTTTCTTTTTTTTATATATAAAAAGTTGCAACTTTCAGCTCGCTCTGTATCAAGTATAAATACAGCTTCAAATCAAGAGAACCTGTCACCAGAAAATTCTGACTCGCTGCAGCTTCTAATTATTATTACATAGTATTTATATAGCACCAATGCAGATTATGAGAAGCTCCCAGTGTGCAGTGACATCAGGGGAAGCAATTTCAGTCCAGGAGAAGAGCCGGTACAACTGTGCAAGACTTAGTGGGGAGGACGGAGGTCAGATAGAAGACTGAAGGGGAGGATGGAGGTCATATAGAAGACTGAAGGGAAGGACGGAGGTCAGATAGAAGACTGAAGGGAAGGATGGAGGTCAGATATAAGACTAAAGGGGAGGATGGAGGTCATATAGAAGACTGAAGGGAAGGACGGAGGTCAGATAGAAGAATGAAGGGAAGGACGGAGGTCAGATATAAGACTGAAGGGGAGGCCGGAGGTCAGATAGACGACTGAAGGGAAGGACGGAGATCAGATAGAAGACTGAAGGGGAGGCGGAGGTCAGATAGAAGACTGAAGTGGAGGATGGAGGTCAGATAGAAGACTGAAAGGAAGGCCAAGGCCGGGCGTTAGATAGGAGACTGAAGGGAAGGACTGAGGTAGGATAGAAGACTGAAGGAAAGGACGGAGGTCAAGTATAAGACTGAACGGGAGGTCAGAGGTCAGATAGAATACTGAAGGGAAGGTCGGATAGAAGACTGAAGGGAAGGACGGAGATCAGGTATAAGATGAAGGGGAGGACGGAGGTCAGATAGAAGACTAAAGGGAAGGACGGAGGTCAGATAGAAGACTAGCTGGAAGGACGGAGGTCAGATAGAAGACTGAAGGGGAGGACAGAGGTCAGATAGAAGACTGAAGGGGAGGACAGAGGTCAGATAGAAGACTGAAGGGGAAGGATGGAGGTCAGATATAAGACTGAAGGGAAGGACGGAGGTCAGATATAAGACTGAAGGGAAGGACGGAGGTCAGAAAGAAGACTGAAGGGGAAGGACGGAGGTCAGATATAAGACTGAAGGGAAGGACGGAGGTCAGAAAGAAGACTGAAGGGGAAGGACGGAGGTCAGATATAAGACTGAAGGGAAGGAGGGAGGTCAGATATAAGACTGAAGGGAAGGACGGAGGTCAGATAGAAGACTGAAGGGAAGGACGGAGGTCAGAAAGAAGACTGAAGGGGAAGGACGGAGGTCAGATATAAGACTGAAGGGAAGGAGGGAGGTCAGATATAAGACTGAAGGGAAGGACGGAGGTCAGATAGAAGACTGAAGGGAAGGACGGAGGTCAGAAAGAAGACTGAAGGGGAAGGACGGAGGTCAGATATAAGACTGAAGGGAAGGCCAGAGTTCAGATTAAAGTCTGAGTGGCATGTAAAAGTCCCGCCTCCGATCATAACCCAAAAGCCTGCCTGCACCCCCCAGCCCCTTTTCCCCCCGACCAACCTGCAGCCTCTGTAGCTGCGCCTCCTTCCCGATGATATCCGGCTGCATCTCGTTTTCTTTGGCACATTTGATCCGCAGCGCCGACAGCTTCTGGTGCAGCAGCCGGTACGCCGAATCAAACTCTTCACTCTGAGCGGCCAGATTCTGAAATAGATGACAGGGTGACAACGCTCACTCACTGATATGTATCTACGGAGGAGCAGTGTTGTCACTGTAGGACAGGAACTGTGTGAAGACTACTGTTTTCTTATCTTAATAACATGGGGGGTGGGGGGAGGGTCTGTAGTCCAGCAGAGGAGTTACCACCATTTGGGATTTCAGTGCAGTACTGTCAGGAGTTAGATGCTCCTTGGAATTCCGGCAGGATCAGCTTTTTTTTGGCATTTTTAAAGAGACAAAACATGAAGAAATGTACAGACATTGGAAAGATCTGACAGAGTATCGGTGGTGCGCGGGAGAGGCTGCGACGGGAACATGATGTGCCAAACTGTTACAAAAATCTGCAAGTTGCAACAAATGATCTTTTATGTAGCAGTGGCTGTAGCTTATAATGGGTCCTACGCCATCTACGGTTTGGGGCACATAAAACAGAAGTGGAACGAGTACAAATGTTGCAATTTGCGCTGTTTTAAAGGAGAACTACGGGGTCAGGGCTTCTCCCCATAGTTCTCCTTAGGGTAACGGGAGGACACAAACTAGCGTCCTCCCGTCACCCTAGGCTCAGTATATAGGGAGCTGCAGGTCGCGGTATACTGAGACGCCGCAGCCGGAGCGGATCCCGACATCGATGTGCGTGAGTGACAGCTGGCTCTGCCTATCTAGAGGCAGAGCCAGCTGTACCCACCCCCTCCCCCGTCCGTTCCGCCAGTCAGCGCTGGAGGATCGGAGCTGGGAGGGGGGAATCCAGCCCCTCCCCTGTCACGGCAGAGAGCCGTGACAGAATCGAGAGGTGAGTGAACGCCGGTATGTGTTCGCTCACCTCCCGATCTACTGAGCCGACCTGTGACAGTCTCATTGTCACAGGTCGGCTAGAACTATGAGGTGAGTGAAAAGCACTCCCCTCCCCCCCTCATAGTTCTCCTTTAATCTCGCACCGCTGATTGCCTATACACAATGGGGTCAGTACGCCCCTGTGCACGCCCCTGTACACGCCCCAGCTACAATATACAGGACCAGTGACACTGACAGAAGTGACGTCTTCCCCGACATCTTACCTGCAGCTGACTCTTCCTCTGCGAGAGATGGCGGTGCAGCTCCTCTCGCTCCACCTCGGCCGCGGCTACGTCTCTCAGGAGCAGTTTGGTTCGGTCGTCGCCCAGCACGCTGTGCATGCGATCCTTCCTCGCCTCCAGCGCTGTCAGCTTTTCTCTAATCGCGTCGCTTTCCTCCAGAAGTTTCTACAGATGGAAAGAGTGCATTGCTTATGGTAATGAAGACCAGGAAATAGAGGAAATGAACACGAGTGATTGAAAAGTATTTTCCTGTACTTCTATTAGAAAACAAAAGTGTCCGCATCCCACCGCACTCCTAACCGGAATCCAATCCTAACTAGTAACGGGAGGGTGCAGCAATGAATGCGGATGGCGCCGCTCATCAATCACCGGCACTCCAAAGTTCAGAACGTCAGGTTCTCTTTATTCACAATGTGTGGCAACGTTTCGGAATCCAATTCAGTTCCTTCCTCAGGCAAACAAAGTGACTCTTGTTACAACACTTACAGAATCCCTGCCAGTACTTTCAATGGTACTCCCAGAATCCCTGCCAGTACTTGCAATGGTACTCCCAGAATCCCTGCCAGTACTTCCAATGGTAATCCCAAAATCCCTGCCAGTACATCCAATGGTACCCCCAGAATCCCTGCCAGTACTTCCAAAGGAACTTGCGGAATTCCTGCCAGTACTTCCAATGGCAATCCCAAAATCCCTGCCAGTACATCCAATGTTACTCCCAGAATCGCTGCTAGTATGTCCAATGTTACTCCCAGAATCGCTGCTAGTATGTCCAATGTTACTCCCAGAATCGCTGCTAGTATGTTCAATGTTACTCCCAGAATCGCTGCTAGTATGTCCAATGTTACTCCCAGAATCGCTGCTAGTATGTCCAATGTTACTCCCAGAATCGCTGCTAGTATGTCCAATGTTACTCCCAGAATCGCTGCTAGTATGTCCAATGTTACTCCCAGAATCGCTGCTAGTATGTCCAATGCTACTCCCAGAATCGCTGCTAGTATGTCCAATGCTACTCCCAGAATCGCTGCTAGTATGTTCAATGTTACTCCCAGAATCCCTGCTAGTATGTCCAATGGTACTCCCAGAATCTCTGCCAGTACTTCCAATGGTACTCCCAGAATCCCTGAAAGAACTTCCAATGGTTCTTGTTTTTTGGGGGTAAAGTACACAGAAAGAAGCTACAAAACCGTTCCTGCCTCACCTCAATGCGCTCCAGGACGTCGTAGTTGGCAGGCCCGTTATTGGCTGCACCAGCAGTGGCGTCCAGGACGCTCTCGGCGATGGGTTTCCAGTAGAGGAATTCCCGCAGAGGGTTTTGGAAGAGCTGCCGCAGCTCGGTCTCTGTGTCGGTGCTGAGCTTGAACGCTTTACTTTTCACCCTGTGGGGACAACATTGTGAAACATGAACTCGACAACTTTATTGATCGTTCACTGAAATCAATTCGTCATATTTGTTCCACAAAATACAGAAAATAAACTACAGAGCCCACCGTGGCCCCAAACCCACCAATCAACATGATGATGACATTTTTTAGATAAAACCTTTACATTTTCATTTCACTTCTGGTTCCCTCATCAATGACCTGCTCCTAATGACGTTTTAAAGAAAACCTTTCATTTTTATGACATATTTTATTTTAGGGACTCAGTGACATCAGCACTTGTGCAGATCATGGCTGGGGGGAGGGGCCGGCACATACATAGCTTCCTGAAAACATCACAGCACCCTGCCTCTGTACTTCTCTCAGGAGCCCTCAGCCCTGATACAAGCAGTGGGCTGGCTCTTGGGAGGAGTTATGCAAATATCAAAATGCCTTAATGAGTGGAGGTCAGTCTAGAGGAGTGGGCGTTCCTAGACAAGCTTTATATGCATGCAGACTACTCTAGGTAACGCCCACATGTGATGCTGAACCTTCATAATTGAAATCTAATGAATACAAGGGGTGGGGTCAGGGACAGTCAGCCTGGGGAGGAAAAGGCTAGATGATGCTGGACGTCCTCCAGCAGGAAATGAGGCGGGCTCTATATGACTTGCTGCAACTTCTAATAGACATTGTGAGAAGCTCTCAGTGTGCAGTGACATCAGAGGAAGAGGAGAGGAGCCGGTACAACTGTGCAAGACTGAAGGGAAGGACGGAGGTCATATAGAAGACTGAAGGGAAGGACAGAGGTCAGATAGAAGACTGAAGGGGAGGACGGAGGTCAGATAGAAGACTGAAGGGAAGGCCGGAGGTCAGATAGAAGACTGAAGGGAAGGACGGAGGTCAGATACAAGACTGAAGGGAAGGACGGAGGTCAGATATAAGACTGAAGGGGAGGACGGAGGTCAGATAGAAGACTGAAGGGGAAGGACGGAGGTCAGATATAAGACTGAAGGGAAGGACGGAGGTCAGATAGAAGACTGAAGGGGAAGGACGGAGGTCAGATAGAAGACTGAAGGGGAAGGACGGAGGTCAGATATAAGACTGAAGGGGAGGCCGGAGGTCAGATATTTACACAAATGTTTGTTTTGACAGCTCCACTCTAAAATTGTATATATTAGGAATGCGCCGATACCGATACTAGTATTTTGGCAAGTACTCGTGCTCACCCAAATGCTCCGATACCTTCCCCCGATTCTGAAACTTCCGGTCAGAGAAAATACTGAGCGGCAGTGGGGAGAGGGAACATGGAGCCGGCTTCCCAGCCAATCAGGAAGCTGGGCGGTGGGTAATGACTCGCCAACTGCCTTCCAGACGGCTTCTTGCGGTTTGACCGGCTAATCAGCATCGAGCCGGCCAAACAACATAGAGCCGACTTCCCTGCCAATCAAGAAGCTGGGTGGCAGGTAATGACATGCCACCCGGTTTCCTGATTGGCTGGGAAGCCAGCTCCATGCTAGCGGAAGTCCCGGTATTGGCGAGCTCTGAATGACGCATATCGGTACTCGCACTCCATACTGAGAAACCTGCATCGGTGCATCCCCAATATATATATATATACCTCCTCAGTCGGCGCACTTACCTCTGGTACTCACGCATGGCTGCAATGACATTGTCAGAGAGAGGTTGGACGTCCTTGGAAAACTTGAAGAGGTCCTTTAACTGAACTTTAACTCTTTCCGCCTTGGCCTCTAACCCAGCCAGGGCTGACTTGGTGACCTGAGAAGGAATTGGAGGTTAGTGTGACATTATTTGGTTATTTGAATGAGTTTCCTTTCTAAAGTTACTCACTTCCTGACCATGCCGCCACTGGTGGTTTCCGGGCATTCGGAGCTGCTCACCTGGAGCAACCACGGAGATCTGAGTAAGGTCTTCTCTGATGTTTTTTCCCCTTAACTTTAATCTGGGGATCCTGTCAGTGATACACTTCCTGTCCTAGGGTGACGACACTCACTCACTTTATCTGTGGAGAAGCAGCGTTGTCACCTGAGGACACAACTAAAGAACATCCCCTGCATAGTTTTTTTTGTTTTTTTTCTCCGGTAGGAGGAACATTTGTTCGCTTGGAATTGCTGACATGTGCAAAGTGTGCATTTTATGAATTGAATTTTTTTAAAAGACCCGCACACTGACATTTCTGTTGTGATTTTATTTCACCATTGGGGGTGACCTTCCCTCCGTCTTGTCCCTGTGACAAGAAATGAGGGGGGCATCTGTCACTGGGAGAGGAAGACGCAGACAACTATATACTGTACACCTTGTTAGAAATTGTAACCCTTCCTCACTAAACTAAAAATGTGTTTTTGTGTTGTCACCTGTGTCTCCTATGGAGAGATTTCTCATTACTTCCTGTCCTGACAGCAATAAAAACCTGACCCTTCCCTGCTTTACTAAGTAAAGAGGTTTGGCTGGAGTTGGGTTTTACCTCCTTCCTGTCATGTCCTCTTCCTCCCATCAGAGCAGATTGAACAGGAGTACCTGACAGCTAGCACTGACCATTGGCCCTGTGAGTGTTCTGCAGGATGATATTGTTAGGGCCCCGGATGAGAGCAGGTTACGATGCCCTTTGACTGATGACCTGAACATGTACTTCGGGGGCACCTAGTCAAAACGGTCATCTTGATTGGGAGTTAGATTATGATCTTTATTGAACAGCCAATGCTTTTCGGGGATAGGCCTCCCCTTCTTCAGGGCTTGAAAAATGCTTTATGGAGGAATCGCAACACAATTTGCATAACCTGACCACAGTAAGACCAGTGGAATGAACAGAGCGCTTCCCTTGCCGTGGGCAGGTCACGCAGACATCTCCAGACCCAATTTAGCCTTAAAGGAGAACTATGAGGGGAGTGCTTTTCACTCACCTCATAGTTCTAGCCGACCTGTGACAATGAGACTGTCACAGGTCGGCTCAGTAGATCGGGAGGTGAGCGAACACATACCGGCGTTCGCTCACTTCTCGATCCTGTCACGGCTCTCTGCCGTGACAGGGGAGGGGCTGGATTCCCCGCTCCGATCCGCCAGCGCTGACTGGCGAAACGGCCGGGGGAGGGGGCGGGTACAGCTGGCTCTGCCTCTAGATAGGCAGAGCCAGCTGTCACTCACGCAGATGGGCGGATCCCCGCATAATTGTCGGGATCCGCTTCAGCTGCGGCGTCTCAGTAGCTCCCTATATACTGAGCCTAGGGTGATGGGAGGACGCTAGTTTGTGTCCTCCCGTTACCCTAAGGAGAACTATGGCTGAAAGCCTGAACCCCATAGTTCTCCTTTAATCTAGGCTCTATAATACATTTTCTTTGTGATTCCTTCCCAAAAATTTTCGGCCCTGAAGAAGAGGGAGGCCTGTCCATCAAAACGCGTTGGATTTATGCAATGTTCTTGTGCAATAAAGATCATAAAGGAACTCCTAAGTGAGATGACCATTTTTTTACTAGTCGCTCCTAGCCGCCTAGTCAGGATTGGGTCTTCTTCTATCATAAGCTACCTTGGAATGGAATCAGGCATACACCAGACTTTCACCAGAGGTTCACCTCCTTCAAGGAGATTTCCCCTTGTCTTACATTTGCACCAAAACCAATCCTCATTCCTGTCGCTCCTGCACTACCACATATCTTTCAGATTCTGTGAATGATGACGGACGGCACAGAGAGGAAATGTCCAGCACCAGTGCCCACAGAAAAAGGTGGCCATTGTTGAGAGCTGATTAGCAGATCGGCTGTGGGAAGGGGCAAGCAGGCAGGTATGGGCCAGGATGGGAGGTCATGCAATGATGGAAACCACCAGTGACGTGCAGTATGTTCTGTGCTGGGTGAGGCATTCCCCCTGCCTGCCTCAGCCCCACCCTCAACCCGGTCACCAAGCTATGTGTGGAGGAGGGATGGAGGAGACAGGGAGGAGCCCCCCTATCCTTCACTTTCTCATCACTGGTGAGGCATCGATATCGATGTCCTCTGTGTTTTTTCCTTTTTTTATGATTAGGCAGCTTGGACAAATGGCGCAATTGCCATTGGCCCAAGCCATTCACAGAGCTCAAGCCTGTAACACCAAGTAGAGGCTGTTGCAGGTCTGGCCTCACTAGGATAGGTTACAAAAGCAGTGGGGAAGCCCGCTGCTGTGTAACCTAACTTAGCTGTCAAAAGCCGGATGAAGCGCCGCCTGTAATTAGCAGGCAGCGCACCGTCCATGACAGGTTACACAACGGGGAGGATTTCCCTGCTGTGTAACCTGTTATAAGCCGCTCTGAATGGAGAAAAAACTGTCAGGTTCAGACTTAAAGCTGACAGCTTTTTTCTCCATAATATTCTGCCTCACCTGACCGCACGTCCCTGGAAACCACCCACCGGTAACCAAAAGCGGCATCGACCCTTCTGATCCCGAATGCCATGAATATACAGCTTGGTGTGAATCGACTCAACCCAAGACAATGCGGAGCAGTTCCCTCGTCTCTAGCACCCAATAAGACTCACATTAAGCGTCTTCCAAAGTGCGATGAGCTCCTCCTCGCTCTTAACCTTCTCCCCAGACTCCAGGCTCTCCTCCAGCCTTTGCACGGCCTTCCTGAACTCGTTGATGTTGGCCTCCAGCTGCTGGGCCAGTTGCAGGAAGGTGTTATCCGAGTTGTAGGTCTTCAGCAGGCCCTCTTCTTCTTCGTCGTTCATGACCTTCAGCTCGGCCAGAGTCCGCCGCAGCTCTTCCAGCTCTCGGCAAATCTTGTCGGCACCCAGTGGAGACGTGTCTTTGATGACCTCTGCCGACCTCTCTTCCAGAAGTTCTAACTGTTTCTTGCCAATTTTGACGTCCTTCCCAATTTCCTGTAACAGGCAGGAGAAGACATGAAACCATCTACGGTATAACGAGGGGAAATTGCAGCATTCATAAAAGGAAAAATGTATGTTTATGAATAGAGTGCCATTTTGTTCTAATTGGGTTAAATGGATGTTTAGCCAACTCCCATGATGCTGCGTTGCTCCTGTAGAGGTGGGCCAGTCACGGCCACCTTGGGTGAACTGTCATAGCCTGCAGGGCTCTTGGCTGGTGCCGCAAATCGGTTTTGTCAAGCCGTGTTCCCCCGTCACACCCTCCTGTATCCTGGATGAGAAGCACTAGGCGTTGTAAACTTCATACACACCCTTCATACTGACAAAACAAATATCTAATCTCATTCCGGAGACGTCAGAGCTCTATGACTGTTCGAAAATACTGACGGAGCACTTTTCCCTGTAAAAATGGAGACGTGCCATCGTTCCTTTTTTTAAATTAAAGGGGATAATTTTTTATTTACTTGAGCTTTTGATACTAAGTATTCTGAGGAGATACTGTATCCTCCTCAGAGATACTTTGTGTTACTACATTCCTGCCTATGGTTGAAGCAATAACCTTAATCAAGGATCTAACCACAGTCATAGCAGCCCATCCAATCACGACGAGGCCCAACACAGAGACACATATCAGTCTTCTAAAGCTGAAGACATCAGCCGGTGCTGGATCTATGACATGTTAAAGTTGACCTCTGGCCTCCCCTTCAGTCTTGCACAGTTGTACCTAGGGTTGCCACCTGTCCCGGATTCACCTGGACAGTGCAGGCTTTGAGTTCTGAATGTGCTGTTTCCAGGTTTCAGGCCAGCTGAAACCCAGACACAGCACATACAGGACTCAAAACCCGGACTGTCCAGTTGAATCCGGGACAGGTGGAAACCCTAGTTGTACTTGCTCCTCTCCTGGACTGGAATCGCTTCCTCTGATTTCCCTGCACACTGTGAGCTTCTCACCATGTGCATTAAAAAGCAGCAGCAAGTCAGATAGAGTTCACCTCATTTCCTAGCTAGAGGAAGTCCCCAATCATCTAACCCTTTCCTCCCCAGCCTGACTGTCTCTGGCTCGCCCCTTTCATTTATTGGTGTTTCAATCATAGAGGCTCAGCATCACATGAAGGCATTACCTAGGGTGGTCTGCATGCAAATTCAGCCCACTTTAACCCATCAAGGGATTTTAATATTTGCATAATTACTCCCAAAAGCCAGCCCGCTGCTTGAATCAGGACTGAGGAGTACTGTGCCAGGGTGCTGTGATGTTTTCAGGAAGCTATGTACAGCACCCTGCCGGCTCCTCCCACCAGCCATAATCTGCCTGTAATATATAGTACTATATACAGTCAAGAGATCTAGTGATGATGTCACTAAGTCCCCAAAATAAGGTATGAATTAGAAATGCAGGGTTCTATTTGAAATGTCATTAGAGGCATGTCATTGATGAGGGAACCAGGGAAGGCAAAATATAAGCAGATTAACCCCTTCCCGATTGATGACGGTCTTTCAGTTCATTAAAGACCGTTGACGGAATAATCCCATCATGCGGTACAATGAGCGCTGGTCAGTGGAGGGACCAACGCTCATTGAGTTCATGCTGTTGCAGGGTCCCTCAGTGTCCGAGGCAGACCTTCAACAGTAAATTAGGGGTCCCAGCACTGTGATCACTGCGATAGGCAATCGGAGCGACCACAGTGCTGTGACAGCCACTGAGCCGGCTTGTAGCTCACTGTGTTGTGGAGCTGCAAGCCTGATCAGTGTATTACAATAGTGATACAAAGTATCTCTGAGGAGAATACAGCATCTCCTCAGAATACTTAGGAGGTTATTCACTAATGAGCCTAATGATTAAGCTGAAGCTCTGGCTAATCCTCCGGCTTGCTTCGGCCACCGGAGCCCTTGGAAAAGCACCCCCACACAAGGTAGCAAGCAAATATACACAACAGAGTCAATTTACCTGCCTACAGATTTGTATTGCAGCCCAGCCTGCCCTGAGATTTGCACGGCCGGGCTGATACACACCTGCAGCAGGTTCAGTCGGGTCTCTGTGGATTCAAAGGCCGACCCCACGCAGCACTTCAACTTCTCAATCACGCCGTTCAGCCAGGATTTGAAGAGGTTGACTTCCTTCTCGTAGGCCTCATGATCTCTCCAGATCTTCTCCAGATGCTGTGTCCTCTCCTAGAAGCGCCAAACAAATGATCGGTGACAATGTGTACAATTACAAAGTGTAGTCAAACTTCATTACCATAATAATATATATAACCCAGGAACCCAGACCCAGGAACTCAGCTCAGGGATGGTGGGAACCCCTCATAATGGGCACAGCAGGTGTACAGACCCAGGAACTGAGCTCAGGGATGGTGGGAGACCCTCATAATGAGCACAGCAGGTGTACAGACCCAGGAACTCAGCTCAGGGATGGTGGGAGACCCTCATAATGAGCACAGCAGGTGTACAGACCCGGGAACTCAGCACAGAGATGGTGGGAGCTCCTCATAATGAGCACAGCAGGTGTACAGACCCAGGAACTCATCACAGGGATGGTGGGAGACCCTCATAATGGGTACAGCAGGTGTACAGACCCGGGAACTCAGCACAGGGATAGTGGGAGCTCCTCATAATGGGCACAGCAGGTGTACAGACCCAGGAACTCAGCACACATATTTACCATCAGACTGCAATAGAGATAGAACAGACTGTCTGATGGTTTAATGTTGCAGCATCCACCAAACACTGAAATATCAGTTTGGGTCTACATCTGATTTGAGAGCATCTTCATGTCTGCAGCAAATCTTTATCAATAAAAGGTTAATTGTTACCCAAAGTGTAATCAAACCTTCGGCTCCTCAGTACACCGTGAGACAATGAACAGGATTCTTCCCTGGAAGCCACTAAACTAAATCCAAACAAACACGACGCTGTGCAAACAGGCTAGACGGAAGCTTGAACGGCAGCCAAAGCAAAGCAGTTCCCTGGTAGAGTTCCAGAGAGTTGTAAATAGAGGAGCAGGTGCCGGCTCTCACGGAGGAGATGTGTGAATGGTGAATGAGCCAAAAAGAACGCGGCTCAGGTAACGAAGAGCGCAGATGCCGATAATGGGGGGGGGTTGTGTCCTTGGTGAACTGTGCACTACTCTCACCACTGAATGTAGGGTCCGGTGGAGACTATTGACCAGCAGGATCCTGCGTACATTTCCACACCCCTGTGCGTGAGGATTGGCGCTGAAGAGACTTGCGCCCTGCCTTCCTGTTTCTCCAAGGATCCTACTTGTCAAGGGAAGAGGGACAGGCAGTCCATACCTATAGCCAATGGCAGTGCTGTGCTATTAAACCTTACAATTCACTTTCGTGTGCATAGCGGCATTTTATCTCCACTCCCTCAGCCACACCTGCCCCCTCCAGGATCTCAGACTCCCTCATTTCTAGGTAGGCTTCGAGGAAACTCGCCTGACCCACCAGTTTGCTCACCTCTACCGAAAAAAAAAACACTCTACAGGTTACCAGCATTGAGCCAGATTTGGTATTTTCCAGCCGCTGACCTGGGTTTTCTTCTTGATTTGTTTATACTCGTTCACCATGGCGTTCTGTACGCTCTCGTCCACGCTGGGGTCTCCGATGCGGTTGTACAGCGACGAGGCCTCCTCCAGAAGCCGGTCCACCAGTTTGGAATGGTTGTTGACGTCTCTTAGGAGGACCTGGGCCTGCTCGTACTGCCAACACTTCTCCTTCCGGCCCAGCTGGAGCTCCATATCCGGCTCCAGCATCAGCGTCATGTCGTGGACCCAGGCCGAAAATTGGTCTCGCGCTCGGAGATACTCGTTCCAGTGTAGCCACACCCACTCAATACGGCTGTTAATGGAAGAGAACAGACTTACCCATGACCGCTATAGTGCAAGATCACATACAGGACACAGTGCAATATAAATGTCATACAGATCAACATTTAATACAGAATATATCCACTCAGTCACAAAGTATGCCAGGCTTTCCCATAAAAAAATGTCAGTATTGCTGCATGCTTGTTGGAAGCCTGTATACAAAAACTAAACTAGATAGATCCATCTGTGCTAGGAGAGACAAGGAGGACACATCACCTCCTCTGAGATATTTAGCAGCCTATGTAATCTGAGGTCTCCTGCAGGCCAGGACTGCTTGACAGGAAAGCTACAGTTAAGGTGCCCATACACCTTGCGATTATTGTACGATAATTGCAGGAAATCCCGCGATCGTACGATAATCACAAGGTGTATGGAAGGCGTGCGACCGATTATACTGTCGGTAGCACAACTTTTGTCTTACGAGCATGTTTGAAAACCAGCCGAAAATCGTATGATTTTCGGCTGGTTTGTGGCGTGCTCGTAAGACAAATGTAGTAAAGAGATGTCACCAGCAGGGGCGTCCCGAGGCTGGGTGACACCTGGAGCGGTGTCCGAGTGTCACCCTGCCGAGACGTCACCGCGCATGCTACAGGTCTTTGGACTTTTGTACACGTAAGTTAAATGCCGCACGGGCCGGTGTGCGCAAGCGCACACTGCCCGCTCAACATTGCGGTCAACGGAAGCCCTCCCCTCACCGCGGCGGGCTTGCGATTATCGCAAATACGATCTGCCTGTCCAAGATGGGCAGATCCTACAAGCTTTTAATTAGCTTACAACCATCGCAAGACAAAAGTCTTGCGATGATTGTAAGGTGTTTGGGCACCTTTAGGGGGAGCAGAAACCTGGCATTCTGTCTGGGAGTGGCAAAGATGAAGAATCCATCTATCATATGTTATATTTACCTGAAATACGTTTTTATTTCTGATCATAGTCATTTACAATTGGTTCCCTGTTTTATTGCATGATGCTGCTCCTCGTACTGTTGCCTCACCTGTGACAGTGCATCATGTAGGTGGTGGTCTCCTCAAACATGGCCTTAATCTTCCCCAGCTTGACGTGAATGTCGTGCTTTTCGTCGTCACTGCTGTCACCCAGGACAGCCTCCGCTTTGGTCAGCACCAGATCCAGGAGGAGCCTCCCGTCCGGCTCCAAGGCACAGATTTTCTGCAGGAGAGATACCATCACTCGGGGAGTCAGATCAATTATGAAGAAGGTAATGCTGAGAGTCACACAGCCATATCAAACACTCTTATTATTTTATATTATTATTATTATGTTTATTTAATTTGTTTTGTTTTTATTTAAACGTTATTAAAGTTTAACAAACAGTAGAGAGGTAACACGAGCACAATTATTCACACCTCATTTATCCCATTCACTGTTTATTTTGTCATATTTAAAAGGAGAACTATGGGGTGTGTGATTTACACTCATCCCCATAGTTATAGCCGACGTGTGACATTAAAACTGTCACATGTTGGCTCTATTGACCGGGAAGCAGGCCCGGCGCTACCGCAAGGCAAGGCAAGCGGCCACCTTAAAAAAAAACATGCTGATAGGGAGCAGGCCCAGCGCTCCAGGGGGTAGGCAAAAATCCTAGCACCGGCCCTGCCGGGAAGTGAGTGAAAACATACCCCCACTCATTCACTTCCCGATCCTCTCCCTGCAGAGAGCGGCGCCTGACATTCCACCCCTCCCCTCTCTGATCCTCCAGCACTGACTGGAGGGACTGACAGAATAAGGGGTGGGCATAGCTGGCTCTGCCTCTAGATAGGCAGAGTCTGCTGTCAATCAGCCAGCTGGGTGGATCTCGACAGTATTGTCTGTATTCGTCCTGGCTGCAGCGCTCTCAGCATATAGCAGGCAATAGTTTTGGGTCACGCGAGGATGTTAGTATATGTCCTCCTGTGACCCTAAATCGAACTGTGGGATAAAAAGGTTACCCCCATAGTTCTCTTTTAACCACTAGCCTTTTAGATGCGGGTGGCGTTTTAAAACATCCTTATGCCCGCGCCTGCTCATGCGCGCTGCCTCGAGCAATCATTTTAGGCCCATCAATCACTGATAACATTAAACTGATGAGCGGTAAAAGGTTTTAAAGCGTCGCCTATGGCCAATTTTGGGTGTCGTCGTTTTTTGCCATTTCGCAGGCACGCGCAATTTTCAGGCTTGACATGTTTGGTGTCTGGGTCACGTCGGGTAAGATCGCTCCCTGGGTGGACTACAATCTCATGTTTAGTTTACTGATTTGTATTGAGATTGTAGTCCATCCCGGGAGCGAGCTTGGAGCGGTGACAACTTTACAACACACACAGGGACCATGGGGAACAATGGTAGCCACCCTCCAGAAGGAAGGACAGTGTCCGCACCAATTCAGAGATGATTGGAGGATCCCCAGCCGAGTGATACACAAATCAGATACTGTACATTGTTGCTAATAGTTATGGTACTTGAATGTATTTTTAAGATTTAACTCCTGAGTTTAGTGTCGCTGATTATAGAATCAGGTAACAATCTACAGAAAGTTTTGACACAACTCTTGCTGTGTACAGTATGTACAATGAACCTAGAGACGAGTTTGTTTCTCAGCAGAATTAGAGATTTACTTTAAATAAAATGTAATCCCAACTTCAGCCCAAAATGTTTTTCTTTTTACAGTTTTGGAATGGGGGAGGGTTATACTCTCTTTTCTCCATTTCTCCAAAGCCACATAACAGCCTCAATAGAATGGAGAGGAAGTGATAGGAAACTCTTGTTTACACAGACAGCAATAAGAGCCCAGAGGTTCTGACCCTTCTCTGCTCAGTCCAAAACTGAGAGTTCATCTTCCAGTATTCCATATAACAGGCTCAATTCACAAAGCTAACTCACCAGAGCAGAGGCATAACTAGAAACCTCAGGACCCCGGTGCAAGAAACCATGAAGGGCCCCTTCATGCACACGCGAGTCCCAGGAGTCAATGTTGGCCCCTTGGTGGTTATCAGGGCCAGAACTTCTTCCTTTCTTGGCTCCCCCAAGTGGCGGACCGCTAGGGCCTGGTTGCAAATGCGACCGCTGCAACCATGGTGGGAACACCAATGGACCATTTTCAGTCAACGAGATTTCAATATAAAAATTTACATGGCTGAATACAAAGATCCTCATCCTTGTGTTGAAGTTAAAATTTTATTGTGCTTATATTTTTCCTGCCCTGGTTCCTCCGCCCCCCCCAATCAACTCCGACCCAACACCCACCACAGCCTCATGAACATGCCAATGAGATTTTTAAATAACACCTTTCCATTGTAATTGGATACCTTATTTTAGATGATGTGATGTGGTCACTGTGCTCCTCTATGTAATGCAGGCAGATCATGACTGTTGGGAGGGGTCGGCACTGTGCTGTACATAGCTTCCTGCAAACATCACAGCACCCCTCCTCAGTACTCCTTTCATGATGATGCAAGCAGTGGGCAGTGGGGGAACCTCCTCTGCATCTGGTCTGTCGTTTTGTTATTCTCTAGTTAGGAAGTTCCTTGATAGTTAACTTGATTCAGTCGCATAGAAGTAGGCGGAGTAAACATTTTCCATTTTGCAGCGATCATTATCTGAGTTGAGTTCTGGGATCAGCTCAGAGATAATTCCCCTGTATACAAACCCTTCTTAACATATTCCCATTATAAAGAGAACATCAACATGTTCCAAGACACCCGTCACGCTGCACGTCTGCTACACGGCTCCATGCGGCACAACAAACATTCCGTGTCTCAGTAAATCTGTCTACGCTGACAGGAAATCCAGGTAGCACTGTCATTCAAATTCACACGAACCTTTGCTACCTTTCTGAGCATCTCCGACGCCCTGCAGCACTCTGTACACATTAATCACATCAGGCCTTCAATCTGTGCCTCTTTATTGATTAAAGAGGTCTTTCCGAAATT